CCATAGCTCAGCTAAACTGCTTTAACGGAAAACTTATAACACTGAATATACTAGCTAACGAAAACTACGCGATCCTATTATTACAGGAACCGTGGATTGATCCACATACACTACGACTTCCACCACACCCAGCGTGGCACGACTTTACGCCCTACGATTACACAGCAAGAAACTACAACGAAAAACCAAGAACAGGTATTTATGTGACTAAACAAATACCCTCATGGCTAATTACATTACTTCCCAGCAAATCGGCGCTACTTACAGCACTCGAAGTCAAGATCCCCAATGGACGACTACACAAGATACGTGTAGTATCAGCCTACAATCCGCCAACCCACAACACAGGCTTACCGGTTCTGAGGGATTGGTTCAACACACACAATGACAGACGCACAGCATCCATAATTGGGATGGACGGTAACCTACACCACCCCAAGTGGAATCCGTCTAACTACAGACACACACACCCGCTAGCCAAGGAACTGATTAAAATTTGTGGCAGCTCGGGCTTCCAAATCATCTCACAGAAACATGTACCCACTTTCTACCCATGAGCGCCAAACGCCAGACCTACAACGCTGGACCTCACATGGGTCAACTTCGAACTTGCCAAATATCCGGTCAAAGGGACAACAAGCAGTGAAAACTTTGGATCCGATCACCAACTCCTCCTCACAACCATTCAATTAGATGAAGCGCTGCCCGAAAGATCTCACAACACAGCAAGATTTGACACGATGGAAAAACCTAGTTTCTGTGATGATCTAGAGAACCAGCTAAGTTCCTTCCCCAATCTCATTCAGTCTACAGAAGAAATTGATCAGGGGGTTAAATTTATTACAGATGCAATCACGGGGGCTTTTCACCGTCAAGGTAAAATGATCAAGACGCGAGGTCATCGCCACAAGGCATGGTGGGACGAGGAGAAACTAGGGCCCATCATTAAGGAGAGGAATCGAGCACGTAGGTGGATGATCCTAAGTGGGAGTCAAAGTGCTAAACAATGTTATTGGTCGTGGAATGATAACTCGTCTCTACTGATTGATACAGATATTTCGCTCCAGGCAAACAGAATCTCATTAGCTTTCATCGATGATGTGACGCATTTAGTAGCCAACAAGGACATCGATCTCAACATCCTAGACTTGGAAGAAGAAGGCGATAGATCAATTGAGTGGGCCAGAAGACACGGTGCGATCTTCGATAAGAAGAAAGCACAGGTCATGCACTTCACACACCGAAAGCATATGAACCCACGTCTCACGTTTGGTAACCAGGTGCTAACCCCTTTGACATCTGAACTTAGGTGGCTAGGCTTATGGCTGGATCCTAAGCTGAACTTCGGAGCTCACATACGAAGAATGCAACAACGGGGAAAGGCAACGATAGCACAACTCAGCAGGATCAGCAGATGCTACCATGGCTTGAACCCAAAAGAAACAAAGAACCTTGTGATGTCTATTTTGAAACCTCGCATTTTGTTCGGGAGTGTCGTTTGGTTCAATAGACGAACAGAAGGTAAAGTGTCTAAAATTTTTAACCTACTCCAAAACGCAGCCAATCGACTGATCTTGGGAGCTTTTAAAAGTTCGCCAACGGATCACATGACCCACGACGCTGACATGATTACGTTTAAGGATTTAGCCATACGATACAACCACAATTACATCTACAAACGACTAACAGCACCAACAAGTCACCCGTCCAGAACGATCATTCAGCAGGAACTGTTGAGATTACCACATACGCATCAGAGCCCGATTCATAGATTGCTAAGAAAGACTGACCTGCTTCTTCCCACTGAACACACACTAGAAACTATACACCCGTACCCAGAACCACCGTGGACTGAACCGCGCTGGACAGTGGAAAATGTAGGGTCTAAGCAAGAAGACGTTAAGGAACACATCCCAACACAAATCGAAGAAGAGAAAAGCCGAGGAGCCTGTGTGATTTTCACGGATGGATCTTTCATACCAGAAACCGGAGGCGGAGCCGCTATTGCGACAGAAGGAAGAACGGCCAGCCACGCGTATGGACCACTGGAAGGGATCTCTAACTACGAGATGGAAACTATGGCTTTAATGATTGCACTTGTTCAATTTAAACAGATAACTGACGCTTCACCTGGACAATTTACGTCTCTAGCAGTATTCAGCAATAGCCAGGCAGCTCTCGATTTATTCGCCAAACCTATGCAACCCAAATCACTCCAGTACTTGGCACGATTCCTACTCCGATCCCACAAACTCATAGCGCAACACCTCCAAATCAGACTTTACTGGACACCTGGTCATGAAGGCATTGCATTGAATGAACAGGCGGATCAGGCTGCAAAACAAGCGGCAGAAGGCAATACTGAACCAATGATGTTGCCCATGAGTTTAGGAGGACTCCTGCGACACACAAGAAGCTTATTTCACCAAAGGGGAGCTGTTTCTATCAAACCGTATAAAACAAAAGCCAAATGGAAAGCTGATTCACTGAATTCTTTAGAAAAAGGAGATGCGGCGGCAATCTTTCAACTCCGGTGTGGACACTGTCCGCTGAAAAAGTTTTTACACCAAATAGGAGCTGAGGAAAACAATAGATGCAAGGGATGTTTTGCAACAGAAACTCCTGCACATTTCTTAATCTATTGCAAAAAATATAACAAACAACGTCAAACGTTCAGAAAACAATTAAAGAAAGAAAAAATTAAAGTCAACATAAACTCAACATTAGCACTATTAGATACACCTAAAGCTTATCCGTATTCAGCACAATTCATCCAGTCAACGGGAAGATTCTCACATCTTAGAACATACTTAGACAATTAAGAAAGCCACAAAGTCAAGAAACATTATGCCCTTTTTTCTTTATTATTTTCTTTATTATCCCTATGCCTTCAATTTTCTTTGTAAATCTTCTGGGAGCGCCTTTTTGTGTCAGGATGTATCTACTAGACAGGCTTGGTAGTCGGTGTAGTGGAAAACCCATCAGAAGTTGTATTAGTCCTTCACTTTACATACACATACTTAGTTAGTCAGTGCGATATGTGAAATCAAAAGCACTTAAAAATAATAAAAAAAAAAAAAAAAAAAAAAAAAAAGCCACTCATAGACAGGTAAGACGGCATCAAGACTTGTGTAATTTGACTGATAAAGCATATTTGTTGCTTTTTCAAAACGTTCAAGGAATCAAACAAGGTGGGAAATCAATTCCCATTCGGTCTGAGTGAGTTTAAACTTGCTCATATTGGGGTCTTGTGAACATTTCAAGTCGATGACATCCTTGAGTTCCAGAGCTCGCTTCAGGGTGTTAAGGTCAGAGTTCCATTGAGTTTCTACATTTTGGATCAGGCCAAGAGAGCGACTGAGTTCGGCTTCAACAAGCTTTTCAAAGGCTCTCTTGCGCTTTGGGGTCTTCATGGTGGCAGTGATGAATCCCATGAGACGACTGATGGCTCCAGGAGCATTGATTTGATTGAAAGAATCATCTTCAAGTATATTGGCTATGTTGACCGAAGTTGTTTTGCCCAAGTTTTTTGAGAATACAGATATACCAGCTCGAGCAACTAGATTTATAACATGAGCTACGCATCCAAGTAAATTAGTTTCTTGTTGAAATTGGTCAAGTTCGTTAGCAATCTCTCGTGCCATTGCTCCGTTAGTTGATGCATTGTCGGCAGTAACACAATAAACTTTGGATTCAATATTAAACTTTTGAAGACATTTGATAAAGTATTTTGCAAGGTTGATACCGGTCTTTGGACCTTCAATTTCTTGCATTGCTAAAATAACTTCTTGTAATTTGAATTTATCATCAATCCAGTGAGCAGTAATCCCGAGAATTGGAATGTTGTTTGAGGAAGACCACTCCTCACAGGTAATGTGGATAGCAAGAGCGTCGGCCAAGACGTCCTTGAGAAGAACTCAACAGACTCAAAACTGAGTTTTAACTGTTTCCAATACACAATCAGAGCCAACAAGAAGAGGCCCAATGTCCGGATTTCAGATACGGAGAAGATCTTTGAACTCTTCGCGATCGACAACGGCCGCCGGCATTTCACCGTTGGTGATCAGTTTGACCAGTTGATACTTGATCAAGTGAGAATCGCGAGACAGCTTGGGAATGTAACAGATGAAAAGATGGAATATTGAAAGAATAGAAAAGAAATATAAGAGATGAGAAAACCCAAAAAAAAGAAACAAAAACAAAAATGAAAGAAACTTGAGTAAATGTTCATCTCGAAACAAACTCACCTTTTGAATTGTCCCAGTTTGAAGAAAAGATTTGATCGCTCCTTGTCGGGGTTCGGTCTTGTCAGTGATATTGTGAAAACGGTCAAGATGTCGAGATAAGGACTTTGTGCTCTGCGTTCGATCAGGGGTCATCACGGCTCCACAAATGCAATTCCTACCGGCAGGTTTTGCAGCCTGGCAGACGTATCTAGCGACACCTTCACGAATTTCGGTCTTGAAGTATTTCCAAACCCAAGATTTCTGGTTTTGGGCGAGTTTGACGGCGTTTGATGTGCTTGAGCTTGAAGTTGTCGAATGAATTTGCTCTTCAGAGTCTGACAGGACGATCGTGGAAGAAGGGCGAGGGCGTTTGGGCGGCATTGTGGCCGTGTTTGAACTTTGTGGATAAATAATTGACTAAGTTCAATATATTTTGAGGTAAATCTTGATATCAAAAGAAGCCAGAGGGCTTTTTTTGGGTTTTCAAGCGTTTGTCACCAATTTGGGGCTTCCGGACCGGGTCGCCCCGGTCCAGGCCAGATTTATTGGGTCGGGACCGGGTCGGTGCATTACTTGAGTTGGGCTTTATGATTGCAGCCAAGACGTAACGATGGGTACGAAAGAGCTTAGGAAGAAGAAACCTGTCACCTTGGGGCGTCCAGATAACTTGATCCCAGAAGTGCTCCATGTATTCAAGGGTGGGGTCAAGCCCACATTCACCAAGCTCGAGGAGTTCTTTGATCTTGTGAATCATCTGACATAAGAAGCCTGATCTTATGGGTTGTGACGGAATATCTCTAGGGGCGGTCTCTTGAGGAAAGCCACAAAGAGAGGATGGTTGACAGTGGCAAAGGGGATTGCCAATGGAGCCAGATTCTTGATGTCAGAAATCAGCTCTTCAACTTCTTCATCTTTGCCATACTCAAGGGCGTCCAGTGAAAGATGTTCTACAAGATATTCTTTGCGCAGAGCGGGGTAGCCGGCACAGAGGGTTGGCTTTTTTTGTTTGCATCCTGAGTGTTGGCTGGAGATTTGGTCACCTGGGATATTGTACGTTTTGGGAGTAAGTGGGCATTGTATTTCTTGATGGTAGCTGAGTTAGCTGAGGCTAAGGTGTCTTCCGTGCACTGGTTGTTGAGCAGAGTCAAGCGTCGTGAGGATTGTGTGGCAGGCCTGGGTTGTTCTGAAGATTCTGGAAGCACTTGCGTCCTCTGAGTTGTTGTGGGTGATTGATTATCAGGTTGATCATGAGCCAGAGATTCTGGAGGAGGAGTCTCTCCTTTTTCGACTTAACCCTTTGAGTTGGGCGTTGGAGATGTGGCGTGATTCGCTGTGGACTTAGAATCCTTGGAGTCATCCTTGTCCTTGTCCTCACTAACAGAGTCTTTGTCGCCTGAGGCATCCTTGGGGGCTTTGTCTGAGAATTCCACCCAAGTGAATGCATCTGGCATGTTCATGAATTCCTTGGCAGCTAGTTCTGGATAGTATAATTCTTGGCAAGGAAAGAAGCAAACTGGACATACCTTTGCCATCTTTTGCCATTGCACAGGCCAATGTCTGCCATGCTCTCATGAGCGGAGCCAACATGGGTGTGTGGTGTATCATTACACCTACTGAATTGGATTGCCAGACTGGTTGTACAGAGTATTCCTTGGCTGAAATCTTCTGGGATCATGGTGTGGGGTTGGGGTAGGCTTCGGAGGCAACTGAAGACCACTCCTCTGGGATCAATAGCTCTGAATTGTGACTGCCTGTGGAGGCAAGAGATTCCAGAGGCAGTATCAGTACAATCCGATGGAAACACATCTGTGTCATCCAGGCTTACCACTCGAGAGTTCTTTGATATGGCTTTCTGTGGGAGCCATTTGGGTTTTGGTACCAGCCTTGTCCTGCTCTTCTACGGAGACCTCTTGGTTGGTGTCGGAAGTAGCCATCATCACAGCCCCCATCTACTAGGCTCTGGCAGGCCAGAGCCTACCACTGACTCCATGAAAGATTCAGAAAGATTTCAAAATGACTTCAACATAATATCATATGGGGCCATTTGCCTGTCCGACCACCAAATTGTGATGTCATCATATGACGTCATAAATCTGTACACACCTGCTCCTGTATTCACAGATTGAGAATATATAGTCTATCAAACTTTATCATGTAATTAATTGACTGAGTTATTGAGGTTTGAAAAAAAATCACAGATAAAAAATACTATTTTTGTACTATACACAAGACTGGGATCTCAAATATCTTCAATCTTTGTCAATATACATATACATTAAATTTGATAATATTTTCCGCACTATGTTTCTCCACATTTCTGTTCCCTACAGTCTTTGTATCTCTGCAAAAATAATGTATTTTTCCAAGGTGAAAAATGATTGAATTTAATGCACAAAATGATTAATAATGCAGAATTAATGCAGAAAAATGAAGAATTAATGCGGAATTAATGCACTTTTAGTCATTTTGTGAAATAACTGTAATCATTTTTCACCTTGGAAAAATACATTATATTTGCAGTGTCTATGGGTAGTATTTTTACATGTAATTGCGGATTATATACAGAAGCTGGATTTTATGAAGTTCTTTGACCTTGAGGCAAATTGTGATGAAATGGAGGGCACAAATGAGGCACAAATAGATTGATATGCATGTGAATAATAATTTTCAAAAAATTTTGTGATCAATTGATTTGTATCCTTCCTTGAATCAACAAATCAGGGAAAGATTGGACTACTCATGTAGTATTCACAATTACATATAGAAATATGCCTTTTGGACAAACACTGCAAAAAAAAAGAAAACAGAATACAAACAAAAATAAGAATAAAAATAAGAATAAGAATCAAAATACAGTTGTTCCAAATTCTGTTGTCCATCTGAAATTTAATAAAATAATAAATTGGCCAATACAGGCCAATTTATAAGCATAGCCTTCAATCAAGATTGCAATATATCTTGATTGACAATGTTGACCCTTTCACCATTCCATAACCCTTGATCCCACCACTTCACCCATATCCACAACACCTATACCATTACCACCACCAATACCACAATGCCCACGAGGACCACTAAAAAACAACCTGCGGACAATGCGGCACAAGCAAAGAAAGATTTGTAAGTTCCTTTTTGATCATTTCTTTCAATCATTTCTTGTTGACCATTCCTTTCAGTCATTTCTTTTGTTCATTCCGGCTGATTGATTTTTCTTTAGTAATGCCCGACGAGATCAAGTGGCTGGACCAGACGGCCTCAGTCCTGATCTTGGAAGAGGTGGAACCCCTTGCCATTTCCACAAGTGAGTTTCCTTTCAAATCCCTGTCTTGAAATTGTTCAAATCACTGATTACCTTTCATTCGGTGTTTTAGAGACGGGTATCATTGGGAACATTGTGCCACTGGCCAACGTCAATATCTTGACACGGAGGTTTTTCATATCAACCCATTTGCTCCAGTAGGCCACCGAGAATTCTGTTGTCAACTCCACCTCAAAACCAACAACGGTGAGTTCCTTTCGCTCTTTCTTTCTGTTCCTTTCTTTTTTTCTGATTCTTGTTGTTTCTTGTCCTCTGCTTTCCCTGCTGCCAATCACCTCAATCGTTTCCAGCCCCACCACCGGCTCAAGAGGTTATTGACGTTGAACAGGTCACCAAGACCCAATGTTTAACACTCCAAAGAATGACATTTGGGCTTCTCCGAGTAAGTACAATATGGTCTATTCCCACCACAATTGGATGGACTGTAGCTGATCAGATTGTTATTCAAAACAACATGTTGAGATCGATTTGACTCAATCACCACCACTCCCAGCACCCGCCTACTTGGTTCAACCTGCACCTGCTGTGGAGCTCAAGGCCAAACCGAGTCACGTCAAGATCTAGTTTCATGTCTTCAGTCCGATTCCGAAGACCAAGGCCAAGATGCAATCTGGAGCCACCCAGAAGTACAGTGACTATACCACCTCCAAACCCTTTGATGCCGAGATCCAGGTGCATGGTGCTCACCTCATTGATGTACGGGATTCAATCTTTGATGCTTGTGATGCTCACAAGACGGTTTGTGGAACCATTCTCAATGAAGAGCCGCTCAATGGGGTTGAAATCTGGTGAAAGTGGTGGTAGATAGCGTATGAGAATCCCCATCTCTTTGCACATCTCTTTGATTGCTCCACTGCGATGAATGGTGGTGTTGTCCAACATCAAGACCAAATTACGAGCTGGATACGGATTCATCACTGGAAGCTGGAATTGATACATCATCAGTTTGAATGATTATCAACCAGAAGCTTAACAATTAACACGGCTTACCAGAAGGTGCTTCAAGAAAGCTTCAAAGTCGGTCTGAAGATAGGCACCCACTTTTGAATGGGCTGCCAATAGTCCCATCTCACATACAGCTGCAAGCATGCTGTAGTGAGGTCCAATTCGCTTCTGTTTCAACTTTGGTGGACGTTTGCCTTGCTTGGATCAAACCTTTGAGTGCATCACATCTAGTGTTCGGAGCCCGGTCTTGTCTAATTGATGCCATAGTAATGCTACAAGTCTGTTATCAAGTCTGTTATCAAAGATAAAAAGCGGAAATCAAACTTACCCATGAACACAAGACATTTGTGTGGAATATTGGCAAGCCGGGGTGAATAATCAGTTTGAAGCTCGGGTGATTGATTGGGATCGACCTTGGAAGCTTTGTGAACCGTAAGACAGAGCCTTTCTTTCGAGTCATTGGCGATGGTCTGTAAAGATGCAGGGGTATTGGTACGATTGTACATCGCCAACTGGATCTCGTCAAGGGATAGAGTTGCATTGTCATTGATGAGCTCGACCATGAATTCACAATCTTCGGCTGAATAGATGGTGTGACGACCTTGTTTCTTGTAGGTATCTGGGTCTCTGACTACAGCGTGGGTACGTTTGTAGAGTGACTTCCATCGTGAGAAAGAACGTGGACATATATTGGTGGTAAGTTCATCGTTGACTTCGTCGATTGATTGACCTTGAAGCAGTTTGTTGACGGCGATAACCTTGACTTCAGCACTGTATTTGACAAACGGCATAGTGAGTGGAAGGATTTGGAATCGGATGTGTTGAATGGGAAGTGTTGAAGTGATATCAATGGTTATGGAGTGTGGTGGGATTGATGGTTATGGAGTGTGGATGAAACGGTCAACAGCCTCAATCAAGATATCCCAATCTTGATTGAAGGCTGCTTATAAGCATAAATTGGCCTGTATTGGCCAATTTATTATTTTCTTAAATTTTGAATTGACAACAGAATTTGGATTGACTGTAAGAGTAAAAATAAAAATAAGAATAAAAATTCAGACTCTAGACTTCTGCTTGTCTCTGCACAGCCAACATAGATGCCTCAGATTGAAAAATCCAAGGTATCATCGGATTGAAAACCTTGGACAGAATTTTGCCAAGGTTTTGGTCCGAGGGATCTTGGTGCGCCAAAAGATACATCAGATCACTACCTCGGACAAGACCTCTCCAAGGGTTTATATCTGATGAAGCCATGGATTTATTAATCTGAGGCATCTATGTTGGACTCTAGACTTCTACCTCTTGCCAACTGGATCAGACTCTAGCGTAAAGGAACTGTTTTCAGGCGGTGTTCCGCATAGTCAGTCAATCCCCTCCTTCTCCTGCTCCTTGGTTTTCTCTGACTGACGGTTGCTTGCATTTAATATATGCAGACTACCATGCCGTCAAAAAGGTCCAAAAAAGACCCTATGAAAAAACTTGTATGGCAATGGGAACGGCTTGCAGGCAAGAATACTTGTACCCCAGATGTACCAGAATGGCATATGACTGGCGTGCTCAACAATCTTGGTGGACCAGCTATAAAGGCCCAACGGCTGTCTGCATATGACCACTTCAACCTTGTTTGGCAACAGTGGTACAACTGTGCAGACAAGACCACACCTAACGGCGCCAACATCACCCAATTTATCATGGTTTGCCTTGGAGACCCTGCCCAGGGTTTTTGGTGGTGTCAAAAGCTCTTAAACATCAAAGACAAACCTGCCATTTCTGAAAGAACACTTTGTGGAGACATTGCCCACGTAAAGACTATGGCAAGGGATAATGGGAAGGGGGACTTTTCCTAAGTCCTGTCGAAGAGACCAACATCACAACCTACATTGAAAGAGTCATCAAGAATGATTGGGTCACCACCGGTCATTGGTACCCATGTGTGGTCATTAACATTGCAGCTTTGACCCACATAGTGACAAACTTTCTTGGAGTGCTTTCTCAAATTAGGTGTGCCAACTGGGATGTTTGTGTATCTTGTCTTCTCACTGTTGTATTGGCAGTGGCCACCGGTTGTTGTTCTGGTGCGCTTGGGATCAGCAATGGTGCCAACTCCACTGCATCTTTTCACTAGAAGCATTTTGACATTGTTGTGAGAGCACCCAAGAACCCTGACGCCAAAATGACATTGGAGGACATCTGGGACTGTTGTATTCCCATCTGATACAACAAGGATAACAAATTCATTAAGAGCAAACAGAACCAGCACCACATCATGTCTAATCTAAACAATCTGGCTATATGCCCAATCTCCTGGATGCTAATCCATTCCATGCGTCATTCTACCTTTCTTGGGGGGCAACACTCTCTGGAGTCCTTTGCTATGCTGTGCAACAACCAAATCAAACACTTCAATGGGTCCATCCCAAAGACCCTGTCATCTGTGAATTGTCTTATTTTCCTCTTGGCCTGAAGATCAGTACCCCTGCTCTCAACAACCCTTGGAATCATTGAGGATGATGGCCGATATGGCCAAGTTTGCACATTGAAATGTGTTTCATTTTCTCACGCACGGGGTTGCGGAAGATGTATTTTAATTGCCTGGTTGATGTGATTATGGCAATGACTGTGACTGGGCAGCACAAAAACTTGCCCATTCAGCTGCTGTTGTCTCCAAGGGAACAACCAATCACTATACAGGCTGCAGTATGACTGAAAATCTTGCACCACCAGAGAACTCTTTGCAAATCCTGACCCATTCCATCTGGATCTTATTAGTCAGGGAGGTCTGGCCCCAGGAGCCTATGCAGATAATCTGTATGGAAGTGATGTAGAAAAAATTTTGAAGCCTCTGAATCAACCTCATCCACTTTAACTTCCAAGGCGGCACAAAAAGGTCACAAGGGTAGTAAGAAAAGGGCTTTGGTTGAAGAAGACCAAGGTATGCCAAGTTTTCCAAGTTTTTCACCTCGCCAATCTCGACTCTCTCAGTTACCTATTTAGGTCACATTTATATCACTAGAGAATACGCGGGCATGCCCGCAACAGGGGAAATCTCCTGCAACCTAATCATCTACTTAAACAGATATTCTGTATATAAACAGTCCCAGTGTTTCACTCTTTCAAATGCTTTTGGCAGTGTAAGTCTGAATTTGATAACCAGGTTGCCTTTGTCTGTGACTCCAGTCATCTATCAGCATGAAAGAACACTACCACATCCATGTTCCGTGGTTGACCATTGTATTCAGGAATGGTCAGGATGCTCAAAGCCAATTAAGCAAGATATTGTGTTAAAGAAACAATGACTAATCTCCTGTACTGTGTTTCCAAGGTGGCCCAAGTAGTTGAAGTTCCGGATATCTGCAAACGGATGCTTTTCAAGCTACTCGAGTTCTTGAACAAGATTCATGTACTTCAACTGCTTTTCTAAGCAACTTGCCTTTATTTGAGATTCAGCTATCAATCCTCATTGTAACTCAGGAGTGAGTTTAATATTACTGACAAAGCCTTGTTTCTTGTCTCAACCATGTGTCCCTTGTAGTACAATGTGTTTCCATTGTAAGTTAAAAGCAACTACAAAGCCAATCGTCAACACAAACATGTTCTACTACATGTGCAATAGAAGCTATTTGATCAATAGGCCTATTTGTGATTTGTCCTGCTGCTAGTATTCTTAGATTTTGCAAGAGGCTGCTGCGCAGTTACCTTATTTCATATGGACAATCAGTTATGTCTATGTCTCAAAATGGCAGATGCCTTCTGTACCTTTCAAGTAACTCATTTGTAAAGTGCTCAATTCATTGTTTTGTGGTGGCTCATAGTAACATTTCTTCACTTCAAAGTTCAACAAAGAAGAGACAACACGCACGAGGCTCCACCATTCCCATTTGCAAACCCCACGCGCAACAATCAACACTTACCAAAGCAGAGAACAATTTTGTTGAACACAATGGCAACCAAAATAAATAATACCACGGCACCCGGGTGGAGGTTGGGACGGGGCACATTCAAAGTGCAGACTTTCGCTTATTCAGTCGCATTGGAAAGTCATGTATTTGGATGAAATGTCTTAGACTGCCAACAATTAAAACAGTTGAAGAGGTAGTTGATGAAGGTCAGGTGGTTGTGTGCGTGAGTGTTGAATTAGACAGGGAGTCAAGTGGAAATTCAAGGCAGAAGACAAAAAAATGTAGTAGGTAGTATAGCAAAAAGAGATTCTGACAAATTATTAGCTTATCAGATTGAAGGAGGAGTGGATTGGTTTGGGTTACGCGTATTGGGAGGTGGGATAGTTGACGGGAATGAGGTATTACACAGCCCTTTTATAGCTTTGAAATTAACATAGAGCATGCCAATCGTTCTCACAAGCACATCAGTGCCTTATACGTCATTTCGAAGAACAATAACAACATACAAGGTCTTAACGGAAGACCCATGCTCCGGCATTAAAAGCCCCAAGAGAAGACAAAAAGGCAGCAAGTAGTCAGTGAAAGAATCCGGAAAATCCATGCTAAAACTTCACAAAAAGCACTTATAACAATAGCTCACATTGTAATTGACTCTTGACAAAAGTACTTATATGGGTTCTTAAAGTACTAATATGGAATCATCAGATGACAATGAGGAAAGGTATTGCACCAGCTTGTGAAGCAAAGCGGGGCAAACGAACCATCACCCAATCAAGCTGGAAGGGAAACAAATGAAAAGCACAAAAAGGATGAAAGGTAGCGTGGCAGATCAGAGGAAAATAAGAAAGGCAACAAGCAAAAGTGAGAAGAAATTTAAAAAGCATGAAACTTAAAGCCGCTGTGAGGGAGGAAGGACCGGAGCAAAGGGCCTAAGCGGTACTTCATGCGAGTGGCTTGTACGTTTTCATATTTCAGATAAGGTGGATTGATTTTCAATCACGATCCCTGCACTTACCTTGCCTCGTGGTGAGGTAAGCGCTGTGTGGTAAAGCGCGCAGAGCAAGCCCAAAATCGGTTTCTTCAAACCAATTCTTTGGTTTCCTGAAACCAACTTTCTAGATCTTAATAATCTAGTTTGGTTTACTAAACCAAGGTTTTGGACGGCTTGCCCGGCTCTGATTGTAAGGATGGGATTATTTTCTTCAAAGGTATCTTGCCATCTTTGACTTGTAGGGTGGGTGGGATGGTATTTGAAAAATCAAAATGTCAAGCCAACATAGGATATTCTTAATGTTGAGAATCTTCAATGTGACGAGTTGTAACTCAAGAGTGCGTAGACCATGCGAAGGATGGAAAAATCAGAGTATTTCCTTCTCTACGACTGAACACAGGTATGTGACATGTCTGATTACCTGTCACCTCATAGTTCACAACTCGTGGACACCATCACCAAAACGTGCCTAATTTGGTGCTTTACATGACACAATATTGTCCAGAAAACCCAGATTCCATAGAGAAATTAGGTTATGCGTTTCAAGATCCAGCCAGATTGGATAGATTTATGCGTGTATATCGGGAAGGCCAGGATAATGATAAGGTGCTATACCATCTGTTTCTTCTTTCTCATGATCAATTCTCATGTCATTTTCCTCTGTCTGACACGTCTTTTCCCATCAAAGCCACTGGGGAGGAGGGGGAGGAGGAGAAGGATGCAAGTCATGAGGATAGCACCGGTGAAAATTTCTGGATGAATCCTGCAATGCTAGACGAACTGAACACTGAGGAGGAAAGTCTCAATTCCAACACAGACACCACCACTGCTGCACCGTATATTAGACATTACTCCCGCATAAACAGCTCCACTTCCATTTTTTGTGAGCATTGTCACATGATGGCATTCAACCGTAAATGTGAGGTAGCTCTTGAAAACGGAGGCTGTCCGCCTCTTTGGGAAGAACTAGCCCCATTGGAAAAAAATTTAGAATGACTGCCTCAGGGAGGATCCTGGAATTGGCCTTTATCTCATTGATTCAAATGTAGGGTCCCACCAGGCTGTCTATTTTGGTCCAACAGGGCTGATGGCCTAACCACCCACGCAGCAATATTCACTGACAAATTGGTGGCGCACAAGTGAAAACATCAACCATTTAAATGCAATGACATTGCATGCAAAGCAAAATTTTGTACAAAGAGGCAGCCGACAGTTCACCGTTGGGATTTGCATGAATTTGAAGCAAAGAAATGCCCGTTCCCTGGCTGCCCCAGGACAAATATGTGACAATACCAAAGTGACCTTGCAGCGGATCTCAGAACCTGTCATTGAGGTCAAGACTTTAGCTATTGTCAACATTGTAACGGGTCTATACATGGCCCAGTTGCCAATGAAGAATCCATACAGCTCATTCAGTGGCTAACAAGCTCGGAGAAAAAAAGACAAATTGGTTTTGGCTGCCTGCAAGAGACACAACAGACAAAATGATTAAACAGTACCTTGCCAACAAACCTCAAATGATCAATGGTTTGCCATTCAACACGTAAAGTGTTTGACGCCTTTGTAAGTGGTTTGATCACATCTTTCATGTAGGATATCATCCAGGTGATTCATATGTTTTCCTCATCATCTGGCTTCATTCCCTCACCAGATCAAAACCAAAATTGTAATTCAACACCTCATCTCTCATTTAAACACACCCTATGCTTTCCCACTCAATCAAGTAAGTGTCTGATTCACCATTGGGAGCTATCTGTTTTGGCCTGTTTTGGCCATGTGAAGTATCTGTACTTCCCCGGCCGCTTTGTGTAGCAACGTGAGTGGGAATCTAAGAAATATTGAGAGGGGCAGCACCAAGATTGGTGTGGCATGTCAAAAGAATCAGTTCCGCATTTCATGAGATGTGGAACCTATTTTTGTGTTTTCAATTGACACCACGTAACTTCATTTTGAGTCTGAGTAAGTTCTAAACTATTTTGCCTTCCTCATGAACAAAGTCAGAAGTGGAAATGTTTGCAGAACATGAAATAAAGAAATACAAAGAAAATATATATATGACTACTCTTTTCCTCTGATATAAATTTGGATGCGGAAAAGAGTGCCCTTCTACAAACAATCATATTATATATATGATAACAAATTGGAATGTGAGAATTGAACCATAATTTTATTCAATTGTATTGGTTGATACAGTTTATTTTGTTCATACACTGGAACTACTGTGTGATGATGTTGAGTATTGATAGCCTTAATATTGACCAATGATCAGGGAGTGTTAGGGCACATGATGTGTCTATATAAACTAGATCTCGGGTTGTTGATCTTGTTATTGAGCTATTCTTCACAACATCTGAAACCTAGAAGTTGTCTCTCAACACATTCTTTTCTGCTGCTTTGACTACACTAAAAAACCCAAGTTTTGGAATGCTCAAGCAAAAAATTTGATGATTTAAATTCAATACTGGTTTGCAGTGTGGATGAGTGGAGTGGTTCTCCAAAGAAACAATCTCTACAATGGTCACTCCTGTCTATAGCTGCTATTGATAAACCAAATTCAAAATAATCTTGGGAGCTGTGTTCCCTCTCAAGTCATTGTAGATGCTGAAGTGATCTGAAAGATAGAAGTTTTACAAGGGAGGCCTCAGTTACAGATCTACAGGTGTATCAAGGCAAGTTTTCCACTATGTGTGAGTGTCTCCAAATTTCCCACACTTGTCTGTCTTTACGTACCATCCTTCATATATCCAATAGGACCTTACAGCTCAGGGACAAACATAAATCCCAGGCTCTCGATGAGATCAAGCAAGTCCTTGCCAAGTATTGTACCACCAAAGCACCTCATGCAACCATTTGAACTCCAAAGCAAATATCATTCATCACTCAGAAGAAACAAACAAAACTCAAGCACCCCTGATAAATCATCCGGTCCCCACGTACAACCTCACAGGCTCCTACCAACCACCAATCTCACCTGTTTTGACAGTTAGTACCCCTTGTTTCATCTGCTGAATGTGACTCGCATTATTTCCTCTCACACATTAATCCTTTGTGATTGGTTTGTATAGATACTCCCTCACAAGATTGCCTGTTGCAAGAGGCACAAATTGGAAGACTGGTCCATGAAAAAGGGATGAGCGCACTCTATAGGAAGAATATACTTATCAAGAAATATACAATTAGACAGATAAAGACAAGCAAGAGTAACTTCTTCCTCTTCAGAATAGAAGAGCTACTTAACCTTGTTGGACAGAAAAAACTACAAGTATCCTTTCATTAAACCAACTAGACGGTATGAGCAGAAGTTAAAACACCTCCTTGATCCCTCTTGTTTGTCCTTTTATCCTTGTCCTATCATCATAATATCTCAACTCAATCTTCCTATCCTTTTTATCTAATTCATTATTAGTTCCAATAGTATTACTAACTATAAGATACATCATTCTCATTCCTATTTTCACAAATTTCTCAAATTACGTTGTCTCTAATATACACAAACAATAACTGTTGTCTTATCTACCTTAC